TGTACGCCCTCGCTGGCGGCGGGGCTTTTGGGAGCGACGTGCTCTCGCCCGCAGGAGGCGGGCCGTTTGCCGCTATCGCCCGTGGTGGGGACGGCGCCCTGGAGTCTGCTTATTCACTAGGTGCCTCGAGCTCCCTCGAAATCGGCATTGGGGCGGACCCCAGCCACACGGGCCCCCCGCCGCAGCTGGGGCAAAACGTTCCCGGCATCTGCACATTCTCGAGCATCAGCGCGGCCGCAGTGAACAACGCCATGGCCGCCGCAGCGCTCGGCGGCGGCGGCATTGCAGCGGGAGGGCGCGGCGTCTCGACCCTGCCGCCGCTGCCGAACAGCCCCCAGCAGGCCGGAGGCTTGGCGGCGGGCTCGCCGGCGCGGCAGGCGGGCGGCGAGGGGTTGGCAGGGCGCGGCTTGGGGCACCTGGCCAGCATTGCATCGCGTGATGACTCAGGGTCCACGTTGGGGGGCCCGGCGCTGCAGACAATCTCCACGCTGCGGACTGTGAGCAATGGCAGCACCGCGAGCCAGGCGGCGGCCGCCGCCGTCGCGGCGGCCCCGCCCGCCAACCTCCCACACCAGCCGCCCCTGCAGGCGCAGCAGCAGCTGCTGCAGCAGCAGCACCTCCAGCAGCAGCAGCAGCAGCAGCAGCAGCAGCAGGCGGCCTTCCACCACCAGCAACAGCAGCAGCAGCAGCAGCAGCAGTTGCAGCCTCACGTGTCCCTCCTCGACAAGCTGGGCATGCCCCTGGCCGAGCCAGTCGACACCAACCCGGGCAGCAGCTGGCGCGAGAGGTCGCGGCAGCAGCTCATAGAATTCATGGGCCGCGGTCGCCCGCGCCGCACGTCCGAGCCGATCCTGGAAGGCGGAGAGGCGCAGGACGGCAGCCCGAGCGGCGCCGGCGGCGGCGCTGGCGGCGCGCAGGACGGGGCCGGCGGGCCGCACGGGGCCGTCGCGGGCGGCGCCGGCGCCCCGGGTGGCGCGTGGGACGTGCGTCGGACGCAGTCGGACTTGGCAGGCCTGGCGGCCGGCCCTGACCAGGGCTATCCCGCGCCACGCGCCTCTGAGGACGCGGTTCGCAGCCACCCCATACCCGTGTCCGGCCCATGGGTCGGCGGCGGCTTGCAGCAGGGCGGCCAGATGGGCGGCGGTGGCGCGGCGCAGCCGTGGCAGCAGGCGCCGCCCGGGCAGCAGCACTGGCAGCAGCAGGGCCCGCAGCAGCAGCAGCAGCAGCAGCACTGGCAGCCGCAGCAGCAGTGGCAGCACCAGGGTCTGCCGCCGCAGCAGCAGTGGCACCCACAGCAGCAGTGGCAGCAGGGCCCGCCACAGCAACACTGGCAGCAGCAGGGCCCGCCGCAGCACTGGCAGCAGCACCAGGGCCCGCCGCAGCACTGGCAGCAGCAGCAAGGCCCCCCGCAGCAGTGGCAGCAGCAGCAGCAGCAGTGGCAGCAGGGCCCGCACCCGCAGCAGCAGTGGCGGCAGCCTCAGGTCCTGGAGCCTGGGGTGCGGGTCGTGTCGCAGCAGCCAATGAGCGGCCACTACGGGCCCCCGATGGGGCTGCAGCAGCCGCTGTCCCATGGCCTGCCCGGCGGCGTCCCGCGCGTCAACATGCTGCAGCAGCAGCCGCCGCAGCTCGTGTCCCCGGGCCAGGGCGGCCAGGCGCCTCCCGCGTACGCGCAGAGCGTTGGGCCGGCCTCGACAGTGCACTCGCACTGGCCCGGCCACTGAGGCGCGCACGAGCGCCCCATCGGGCGGTGCGTCGCCCACCGGGCCTGTGGGGTGTGCCGTGGCCCTCCTGCCACGCAGGAACCCAGTTGTGAGGCGTACTGCAATGGTGCATGGCCCTGATGCGCGCGATCAAGCGACCGTGTTTAGGTGGTGTGCTTGTCATAGCTGAGGCGTCGTCCAGGGCCCATCACCTGTCCCCTGACTGACACGCGCTTGATTGCAAAGGTCATCAATCGTTTTGCTCCTCGCGCCCTTCCCTCGCGCTTGAACAGAGACCCGCTTGCTTGTGCGCCCGCGCCCCGCCTGGCCTCTGGCCGCGGCTGTTGCCGCGGCGCCCTCCTGGCGCCGCCCCGCAGGCCCGTCTTGGTCGCAGCCCCCTTTGAAATCGCTCATCATAACCTGGGATGCGGCACACACAGGGGTTCCGACGGCCCAAGCGTAACTCGACTTGCTGGCTGCTTGGGTGCAGCTTTCACTGGAAGGCAAAACAAACTTGGAGTCCCAGCTTGGCAGTTGTACCCTTCTGTTTCTGGGAACCTGCCAACAGCCGGGGTGGAGTCGCCGACGAACAATGAGCAGAGGCATTACTGCCCTCACTGCCCAGGGGCCGGCCACGGCCGCGCTGGCTGGCTGGCTGGCTGACTGGCTGCGGGGGCACGGGGGTGGGAGCACGTGCAGCGCCACACAAACCTGGCGCGTCACGTCGGGATCACTACGGGAGCCATGGGTGTTGCATGATCACCGCTCGCTGCGCTGTGCGGCTCATGCGCAGGTAGGAGCGGCGTATGACCGGTTGCACAAGGGAAGCAGCTGCAGCACAGCCGTGGGATCAAGCAATGATAGGCGGTGCCTGGGTGACGGGGCGCACGGGGGGCAGTGACCGGCGGCGCCAGGGCGGCACCGCCGACCCCCACTCGGGCGCGGGCGGGGGCGGCTTCCCGGCTGGGATCAGTCACGCGCTAGTGACACCTGGGGCGAGGGGGAGACAGTTGTGCACTGAATGCGTGGGTAGTGCGCGGTCTCAAAGTGGACAGTGACGCCTGTAGGATGCCATCTTGTTCGGCGTACAACGTACAGCAGCATTGAAGCGAAATCTGGACCGTGTGGCTGCGTTGCCTCCCGCGCGACAACGGCTTTCAGGCGGTATGACGGGTGTGAATAAACTTGATACAGATGAGATCCCGTCGTAGCATGCGTGCATTGACGAGGGTTCGATTACCGTGGGGCGCCTAGAGTGGTCACCAACGTACCATGCACTAGACACCGCACACGGCAGATGTGATGTTTGAACTGTATGGTGGCTGGCTTCGCCCATAATTTCACTCCCATCGTCCGCCCATGGCAGGCACACAACCACAAGCGAGGGTCCTAATGAGAGTCAGCGCACCGCGTTATCACAGCTCTCGCGGCGCCCTGTTCGAGGGCTAGCTTGTCCAAAAACTAAACCCACGCCGCACACTGCGCGCTGCACGCGCCGCACCGCAGCTGTCAGAAGCCAGGCGGTGCACATTTGATCCAGGCACAGCTGAGGCGGATCTTGCGGTGCGCGTCACGCGGGGGCGAAGCGGCAAAGGCGCGATCGTCCTGGAGGCAATCTTTTGATACAGCTTATACAGCGCAGCGAGGTCGATCGCTTTCAAGCACACGCAGCGCAGTGACAGGCGGCGGCGCCCCCTCACACTCGAGGGCGCGCTGGCCTGCGAGCCAACCCCCATCACGCAAGGCTCCATTCGGCCCGCCCCCTGCCTTCCATCCCCAGCAGACACGCCGGCGTGCGGGCTCCGCAGCTGCCTGGGAGCTGCCTAAGTCAAGATCGCCAGGACGCCGTGAATGGCGGGCGTGGGCCCATCACCTTCCGGCCGTGCCGCGGACTGCCGAGGCGACGGCGTCAGCGGCGGCCCGGGCCCCGTGAGCGACACGCCCGCGGCGCCCGCGCTTGCGCCGGCGCCGGCGACAGCGGACTGCGGGCCAGCGGCGCGGAACGACCAGTTGGCGCAGCGGGACCGGTCCCTGCTGGGGCGGCTCCGGCGGCTCAAGGGGGCGTGGCATGGCAATCGGCGCACAGGCGAGGATGTCTCCCAGGTGACCCCTGGGCTGCCAGCCAATGCTTCTCGGGGGCCGAAGCGCATCCGCTGCCCCTCCAATGTGCGCAAAGACGCCTGAGACGGCCGCGTTTTGGCACCCATATCGGCCGCGGCCCGTCCGCTGCTC